AAAAAAAAAAAAAACCAGAAAACTTGAACAGACCCATGACCAGCAAAGAAACTGAATCAGTAAAAAAAATCTCTCAACAAACAGTCCAAGACAGGATGGCTTCCCAGGGGAATTCTACCAAACATTTAAAGAAGAGTTAATACTTATTCTTTCAAAAAATTGAAATGGAAGGAAAATCTCCAAACTCATTCTATGAGACCATCATCTTGATTCCAAAACCAAAGACCTCACTAAAAGAATGACAGACCAATATTCCTGATGAACATGGATGCAAACATTCTCAACAAGATACCACCAAATCAAATCCAACAGTACATTAAAACAATTATTCACCGTAATCAAGTGGGATTTATTACTGGGCTGCAGGGCTGGTTCAATATCCACCAATAACTCAACATGATACACCACATTAATAAAAGAAACGATAAGAACAACATGATCCTCTCAACAGATGTAGAAAAAGCATTTGACAAAATACAGCATCCTTTCTTGATAAAAACCCTCAAGAAAGTAGGGATAGAAAGAACACACCTCAATATCATAAAGGCCATATACAAAAAAGAACCACAGTTAATATCATTCTCAATGGGGAAAAACTGACAGCTTTTCCCCTAAGGTCAGAAACATGACAGGGATGTCCATTCCTACAACTGTTGTTCAGTACAGTACTAGAAGTCCTAGCCTCAGCAATCAGACAACAAAAAGAAATAAAGGCACCCAAACCAGCAAGGAAAAAGTCAAACTTTCACAGTTCACAGAAGACAAGATACTCTATATGGAAAACCCGAAAGACTCAGACTCCATCAAAAATTTGCTAGAACTGATAGATGAATTCAGCAAAGTCACAGGATATAAAGTCAATGTACATCTATCTGTTGCATTTCTATGTATCAATAATGAATCATCAGAAAGAGAAATCAAGGAATCGATCCCATTTACAATTGCACCAAAACCCGTAAAATATGTAGGAATAAACCTAACCAAAGAAGGAAAAGATCGGTACTCTGAAAAATACAGAACACTTATTATGAAAGAAACTGAAGAAAACACAAAGAAATGAAAAATATAGCTTGCTCATGGATTGAAAAACAGACACTGTTATAATGTCTACACCACCCAAAGCAATCTACAAATTCAATACAATCCCTATCAAAATACCACCAGAATTTTTCACTGAGCTAGAACAAACAATCCTAAAATTTATATGGAACCAGAAAATATCCCAAATAGCCAAACTAATGTTGAAGAAAAAAAAAAAAAAAAAAAAAAAAGCAAAGTGGGAGGCATCACAATTCCAGACTTCAGCAGTATTACAAAGCTGTATTCATCAAGACAGTACAGTACCAGCACAAAAACACACACATAGATCAATGAACAGAATAGAGACCCCAGAAATGGACCCACAACTCTATGGTCAACTAATCTTCAACAAAGCAGGAAAGAATATTCAATGGAAAAAAGTCTCTTCAACAAATGGTGTTGGGAAAACTGGACCATGATGAAACTGGACCACTCTCTTACACCATACACAAAAATAAACTCAAAATGGATGAAAGACCTAAACATAAGACAGGAAACCACCAAAATCCTAGAGAACGCAGGCAGCAATTTCTTTGACCTTGGCCATAGCAACTTCTTACTAGACACGTCTCTGGAGGCGAGGGCAACAAAACCAAACGTGAACTACTGGGATTTCATCAAGATAAAAAACTTCTGCACAGCGAAGGAAACAATCAACAAAACTAAAAGGCAGCCTACAGAATGGGAGAAGACATTTGCAAATGAAATACTGGATAAAGTGCTAGTATCCAAAATCTATAAAGAAGTTATAAAACTCAACACCCAAAAAATAAATAATCCAGTTAAGAAATGGGCAGAAGACATGAACAGACTTTTCTCCAAAGAAGACATACAAATGGGAAACAGACACATGAAAAAATGCTCAACATCACTTATCATCAGGGAAATACAAATGAAAACCACAGTGAGATACCATTTCACACCTGTCAGAATGGCAAAAATTAACAACTCAGGAAACAGCAGGTATTGGAGAAGACACAGAGAAAGGGGAACCCTCTTGCACTATCGGTGGGAATGCAAACTGGTGCAACCACTCTGGAAAAGTGTGGAAGTTCCTCAAAAAGTTAAAAATAGAACCACTCTATGACCCAGCAATTGCACTACTTTAAGAATAACCACTCGATAAGTACTTGCTGAATGTTCAGAGGACAGTACAGAAAGATAATACTCTTGAGCATGGTCTTTCCATTATGCAAAAGACTCCATGCAAATCAGTATTACTGTTAAAGTCATGGAACTCAATATGTAACAAGACAGCTATTAACGACTTAAAGGTAGTAAACACTCCAAGAAAGGTTACGACCAAACGGTCTCATATTGATTTATTCATACTATCATATGATTATATCAATTTACTCATACTCACCAATTTATATTCTATTAATTGTACCAACTTATAATTTTATTCATATTCTTTAAGACAGCAAATTAATGATTACTCACTTATACAGGTAAGCACCTACTATTAACCACTGTTCTAAATACTGGGTATTTAACTACCTGCCCCCTTAGAGTTTACCCTCTAGTGGGGCAGACAAATAATATATAAGTAAACCAATATATAATTTCAAGTCAATGTAAGGGATTTGACAAAATATAAATTAGGAAGATACTATACACAGATGGATGTATGTGGAAAAACAACACTATTTTCTTTTTTAGAGTGAGAAGTTCTTTCTGACAGATTATTAAAGCACAGATTGAGGTGGTAAAAAGTAAGACATGTGACAATGTAGAGAAACAGAACTGAACACAAAAAATAGCAAGTACAAAGGCTTGAAAAGTCAGGATAGTTAAAAGAATCAGTAAGACTGGACCACTGTGAGCAAATGAAAGTTGGAAGAAGATGAGGCCACAGATATTTAGGCAGAAGCAAAATCACATAGGTCAGGATAAGGAGTATGAGCTTTATCCTACATGTGACGGGAAGCCACAGGATGGACTTGAGCAGGTAAGTGAATCAAGCTTATATGTGTTTTTCAAAACAGGTCACTCTAGTGGGTAGGCAAAGACTATACTAGAAAATACAGAGTAGGGTACTGTGAAAAGGCTATACAATTCTAAAGGGGATGGATGGAACATAGTGGGAGTAGAATGGTTAAGAAACTCATCCTTTTAAAGAAAAGGACCTGCTCACAAAATGAGATGTGAGAAAAAAGTAATCAAAGATTTCCCCAGGGTTTCTGGCCTCAGCAACTACATGAATGGTATGCCATTTACTGAGATGGGAACAGTGGGTGACCAGACTTATTTTGTTTGAGGGGAGAAGGGAAAGAGGAAATTGGCATTCTATTTCAGATACATTGAATTTCAGATACCTATTAAATATCCAAGGAAAGATGTGGAGTGGATTTATAATTTAAAGCTTAGAAATAGGATGAATATAAGGAAGTAAGCAAAAGAAAATGAGAGATGGACAATGAATAGAAAGAGAACCAAAAGAATCAGGTGCCCCAAATGCCAAGCTAAGAAAGGGTTTCCAAAAGGAAGCAGTCAACAGTATCTAATGCTGTTGAGAGATCAAGCAAGATACAGATAAGAGAGACCAAAGGAATGAGTAACCCTTAAGTCAGTGTTAATCACACAACAGTGATATAAGTGGGACATGAACAGGAAAGCCAAACCAGAATGGATTCAAGAGGGAAGCAGTGATATCACACAACTGTTACAAAGAATTTTGCAATAAAAAGGAAAAAACAAACAGTACAGTAGATAGTAGGAATGGGGGGGGTCAAAAAACCATTTTTAAATGAGATCTTGCTGTATGCACTTTAAAGGGAATGATGCAGAGGAAAAGAGGAAGATGACGACGCAAGGCAGAAGCAATAATTTACAAAAGCAGAGTCTTTGAGAGTGTGAAAGGAAATGGAATCTACAGAGAAGTGGTGACTGGTCTTAGGAATGAAAGTAGTGTATTCACCATAACAGAAAAAAAAGGAGGGCATATGCACATAGCTGCTGGAAGGTTAATTTTTTAGTGGAAATACAAATTCTCTTCCCATTGCTTCTTATTTCACAGGAGAAAGAAAGAAACAATGGCTATTTAAGAGTGAAAGCAATTTAAAAATTACTCACATGCTTCACCATTGAGATATCCAAGCAGATCTTTTCGGTCAGGTCTTCTAACCACAGGAATATTTTCAGTCTGAAATCACAATTTTTCATTAGTTATCAAATCAACAACAATTACAAGAAATATAATAAAAACAAACATTGTGTAATATCTGAATTTTATTCCAACAGATCTTGGTAATATTTATTCAGAATCTTACCTTTTTTTTTTTAAATATATGAAATTTATTGTCAAACTGGTTTCCATACAACACCCAGTGCTCATCCCAAAAGGTGCCCTCCTCAATACCCATCACCCACCCTCCCCTCCCTCCCACCCCCCATCAACCCTCAGTTTGTTCTCAGTTTTTAACAGTCTCTAATGCTTTGGCTCTCTCCCACTCTAACCTCTTTTTTTTTTTTCTTCCCCTCCCCCATGGGTTTCTGTTAAGTTTCTCAGAATCCACATAAGAGTGAAACCATATGGTATCTGTCTTTCTCTGTATGGCTTATTTCACTTAGCATCATACTCTCCAGTTCCATCCACGTTGCTACAAAAGGCCGTATTTCATTTTTTCTCATTGCCATGTAGCATTCCATTGCTAATTGTGGTATATAAACCACATTGTATTCCATGTAGAATTGTATTCCATGTAGTATTCCATTGCTAACTGTGGTATATAAACCACAATTTCTTTATCCATTCATCAGTTGATGGACATTTAGGCTCTTTCCATAATTTGGCTATTGTTGAGAGTGCTGCTATAAACATTGGGGTACAAGTGCCCCTATGCATCAGTACTCCTGTATCCCTTGGGTAAATTCCTAGCAGTGCTATTGCTGGGTCATAAGGTAGGTCTATTTTTAATCTTCTGAGGAACCTCCAGACTGCTTTCCAGAGCGGCTGCACCAATTTGCATTCCCACCAACAGTGCATGAGGGTTCCCGTTTCTCCACATCCTCTCCAGCATCTATAGTCTCCTGATTTGTTCATTTTGGCCACTCTGACTGGCGTGAGGTGATACCTGAGTGTGGTTTTGATTTGTATTTCCCTGATAAGGAGCGATGTTGAACATCTTTTCATGTGCCTGTTGGCCATCCGGATGTCTTCTTTAGAGAAGTGTCTATTCATGTTTTCTGCCCATTTCTTCACTGGGTTATTTGTTTTTCGGGTGTGGAGTTTGGTGAGCTCTTTATAGATTTTGGATACTAGCCCTTTGTCCGGTATGTCATTTGCAAATATCTTTTCCCAAGAATCTTACCTTTAAAGAACTACTAGGCTAAAAAAATCTAACCCATGTCTTCAAAAATTTTAAGGATATTAATTTTTAATAACTTCATTCTTGAAATTCAATTAAGATACCTAAAAGATAATCATTAGAAACAATGGCCAATCCCTCTTCAAAATATCAATTCCAGTCTTTTTTGTTCCCTTGGCTTACTTTAAGTATTTTTTTATTTTATTCATGATACTTTGCATGCATATTTGAGGTAATTATCTTTTTAGTCCCATTGCTTGATCATTACATGCTATGTTTCCAAAGTGCTTTCTTTTCTCAAACACAAAACAGACTTCCCAAAATATTCTACTTGAATTCTGAAATACACTAACTTAGCCATAAAAACTAAATTTTCAAAACAATAGGTATACTGTTTAAGCATGGGAAAAAATTTAGGACATTATACAGCAAAACATTAATGTCAGTTGCTTACTTTCCATGCTACATATTTCTTTTTTATCTTTGAATGCACACAAATTCTGTAAGGAAGGGGAAAAGACTAAAAAATTAAATCTGGAAAATGTACCTATTTTGGTAAAATGGATAATTTTCCTTAAATCTCCTACATTAGTCATTGTAAAGAGGTGTACTGACAAATAGAGCTGTATGCTTTAGTCACCAGGTCATCTTGAGGCCATGAATTCAATGAATCCTGTAATTACCACAATTTTCAATATCATTTTTATAATGTAAACAAACAACTAAGGGGCACCTGAGTGGTTCAGTCAGTTAAGCGTCTGGCTTCAGCTCAGGTCATGATCTCATGGTTCGTGGGTTCAAGCTCACATTGAGCTCTGTGCTGACGGCTCAGAGCCTGGAGCCTGCTTCAGATTCTGTAACTCCCTCTCTTTCTGTCCCTCCCATTCGTGCTCTCTCAACAATAACTAACATTAAAAAAAAAAATTAAAAAAAAAAAAACAAAAAAAAACTAAGTATAAGAAAGCCTGGTGGCTGCAAGATTATATAATTAAAATCCCTGTCACTTTATATACACAATGATAAATAACCAGAATCCTTAGTAACTTCGGCTATTTATCTTATATTGTATACTAATTACATTTCATTTCAAACATTCTGCACACACTCCCTGATGATAGAGTTTAACTATATTTAATCATTTAAAATTAACCTTTTTTTTAAAGGGTAGGCTAAATTTTAATTTCTGCTAGGAGTATAAACATTTAAGAGCCCACAGGTTTTTGTGTGCTTGTTTTTAAAAACTAGTCTACATGAAGTATCATAAATAGCTAAAAGATTTGAATTAATTTTGTTAAGTTACTGTTTCTAAGTCTGATAACATACTTATTTGGTTAATAATGAATTATGGACATAATACAGCCAACTGAAAAAGATATAAGTCTACTCACACTAAAATAGGAGCTATGGGTCCACAAAACTTACATCAGACATGGTCTGCTCACAAGAAAGAGCAAGTAGCACAGTGGAGGAAAAAAAATTTGTAGAACCCTAGAACTGTAGAATTCTGCCCTTTCAATCTGCCAAGTATTTAAGAAAAACAAAAGACTTAAATCTTATGTGAGCAAGGGTCCCAAGGTCCACAGTAACAATTACAGCCATCAGTTATAGTTATAACTATTTGCCAAGAACATAATCTCTATATATAAACCAAGCATCTGGATCATCTTTATTACCACAAAATGAATGGATATAGCCAACAATACATTCTAATTACTGCCTAATTCAGATTTTAAAGATTTAAGATGAAGTAACATAACTTCTTAAAGATGCTGTTATTTTTATCCCACTATTTCCCAAATCTCAATACGTAGTTTCACCCTAGTATTATTTTTTTCTATATGTATTAAACACTGAATATTTCCCATTCAGAAAAGCAGAGTTCAAATACTGAGATGCTGAAGGCAAGAAAAACTGGAAACAAATGAATTTATCAATAAAGTTCAAAAGAGATTTATTAAACAGATTAAAAATTAATTTTAAAGTGGTCTGTTAGGGGCACTTGGGTTTGGTTAGGTCTCCGGCACTTGATTTTGGCTCAGGTCGTGACTCATGGTTGTGAGATTGAGCCCCCCATCAGCGTGAAGCCTACTTGGGATTCTCATTCTCTCACTCGCGCGCTCGCTCTCTCTCTCTCTCTCTCTCTCTGCTCTTCCCCTGCTCATGTGAACACACACACACACTCTCTCCCTCTAATAATAATAATAAAGTTGTCTGTTAATCTTGATTCTGATACCCAAAAAAAGTTTTTTTTAAGTTTATTTATTTTGAGAGAGAGAGGGAGAATGAATGGGGGAGGAGCAGAGAAAGAGAGAATCCCAAACAGGCTCTAAACTGTCAGCGCAGCTTACAAACTCAAACTCACAAACTGTGGTATCATGACCTGAGCCAAAATCAAGAGTCAGACGCTTAACCAACTGAGCCACCCAGGCACACCCCAAAAAAGTATTCTTGAGATCAGAGTTCTGAATATCAGGGTCCTTCTACAGGCTTATATATATATTTTTTTTAATATTCCTATAAATATCTTCAAAACTTCTGTTCTTGTAAAAACATGCAAAGATCTAATTTTGAACTTCCAATAGGCTTTCATACAGATGAACCTTTTATTTTTTTGATTTGAAACCCATGAGGGAAGTGATCCATGCCAAATAATACCTATTAACCAAAAAAAAAAAAAAAAAAAAAAAAAAAAAAATTAAGTTTTAAAATGAATTTTACTTACGGCGGCACGTCGGACATAAACAGGATGAGAAAGGTGCACATTATTAAGTAGAAACAAGATAGAATCCAATGTGTAGTACTCTCTGGGCTGGCCTTCCTTTCCAGTCCTGAAATAATTAAGATTTTTACTCAATTTTAATTCAACTCCTTAGACTTGTATGTATGAATTTATCTATATTAACTTTGCTACTCAAGAATGGATTCAACATGGTTAACAAAAATACACATAAAGTATGAAATCTAGTAAGCGGAACTATCATTAAAGTAAAAGAACACAAAGGTAGAAAATGAAAAAAAAGAAAGCACACCATATTCATACTCTAAGGTACTACACCCTTTTTAGAATTTGGCGCAAACTTCATTCTGGTCTTTGCCAATAAAGAGAGAAACCTAGTCAGTTACAGAGTGGAGAGAATCTACAAGAGAAAAACTGATTAGAAGAAGCACAACTCTAAACTTACTAGAAATTTATTCTTTGTCTCCTAAATAAGATACTGCTAAAGAACATCCTTAACATTCTTACAGCAAACACAATAATAAATTTCAGAGGTATAATTCTTATGACATCCCTTAAATTAAACCAATGATGCAAAAAAAATCATAATCAATTCTACCTGTGGTAAAGCAATGCTGTATAAAGGTTTATTTTTTTTTAATGTTTATTTGAGAGAGAAAGAGGGGGAGGGAGAATATAAGCGGGGGCAGGGAGAGAGGGAGAGAGGGAGAGAGGGAGAGAGAATCCCAAACAGACTCTGTGCTGTCAGTACATAGCCCAATATGCGGCCCAGACTCACGAACCGTGAAATCATGACCAGAACCAACTCAAGAGCTGGACGCCTTACCGACTGGGCCACCCAGGCGCCCCAATGCAGTCTAGAGGTGCAAGCTCTTTAACGAAACCGCATAATACTGTTGCCTCAACAGTATTTGTGTCCAATCTCACTCTTCCTACTACATTCCCATCTAAAAAACGTCAGCGTATTATTTGACCTCATCTGAATACAGTGCAATATAGTCAGCCCTCATCTACATTTCTCTAGCCTTCATTTCCACTTTTCCTATGAATTGACATTATTTCAAACCATACATCACTACCAGTTACTGTACAATAACACGTAATATCCAGGTAATCAGGGTTTTTTTTTTTAACAATACAGAAAAGCAAAGTAATAGAACGTACTACATGCAATAAGGATAAGTATTGCTTAAAGTTCCGAAGTTGGACATATGTACATGTGCATAAAGAAATGAATAACAAAACAAAAATATGTTTAGTGGTGTAATTCGCTATTGTTAAAGTTTGAAATTATTCTAAGCACCCCTTTTTCACTACTAGCTTCACTGAAATGCTATCAAAATATTTCCTTTCCAGCTCTCATGGCTTTAAGCATACAGTTCCCTGTCCTTTAAGACCTAACCCATCATGTCACCCTCAAAGTTCCTAACTCACTCTTTAAGGCTTACTCATCTGTTCATTCGTTCAAGAAAATTTGTACCCTGTCTACACGCCAAACATATTTCTATGAAACCCTTCCTAATACCCCAAGCTAGAAGTGATTACTCTCAAGAGCCAGAATGCAATTCTTACCAAGTTATGTTTTATTTCACCTACTCTGATTAAGTTAACCTCCCCTGAGTCAGGAACCAAGGTGCTAAGAATTTTCTATTTCTCAAATTGAACCACCCTACATCCTGAGTACTTCTAAACCATTTTTTAAAGAAAAAAAAATAAATCCGTTAAAATTCCAATCAAATGTAATTCTGTCTGTGCAAATTTTTTTTGACAAGACAAAACGCAAGAAACTCAGAATGATGTCATTGCATCAACATTTCATAAAGCTAATCAAATCATTAAGTCCTCAGGGCCAAAAAGCTAGAAACCAACAAACTAAATTTTCCCCAGCTTTTCATCAACTCTTCACAAAGCCCAGTGCTTCCACTCAATCAAGCAAAATGAGTATGGAAGTTCTAGCCCAAGGTTCTACTCATCCAGATGAAATACCAAAGAGAGAGATATCACCTTTAAAAAGGCCCCAAACCATTACCAGACCTATCTCTAGATATTTTCCTTAATGCCTTCAATTCAAAAAGCCCCGCGTAGATCAACGTTCCCAAATATTTCTTGTTAAAACCCATTTCCTACAAGCACACACCATCATCAATATCTTACTTAGATCTGTAAAGCTCACTCCATTTTACCAATAACTTTCTCCCTGAAGAAATTCCTGCCTTCACCTCTAACACGGGTTTTGAGGACTCTTCCAAAGTGACCAAATCTTTTTCCCGTTCTAATCTCACATAGGTAGTTCCCTTCTCTCTACCTCAGGGAATTACGAAAGGAAAAAGAAACAGACCAGGAGCTGCAAGGGGCAGGTGGGACAGTGACAACACATGGTAGCCTCGAAGAGAAAGAAAAAACTAAACACAAAAAGACGTCTCTAGGACCGGACGGTACGCCCCTTTCTGCACCTACACACGTCGGTAAAAATGAACTAGGAAAGTCAGAAACTCCTGTGGTACCTTCCCCTTTGGCGTCCCAAAGACTTAAAGAACTGGAGATGCACCTCCTCCTATTTCCTCCTCACCTAAAAGTGTAACTTCTTTTCTTGAGAAAAACTTTTACCCGGAGACCCGTTTTTTCTCCATCCCCAAAGGGAATCGGGGGGAGGGGTTAGGAAAGAGGTCGCCTGGGGGCGCCCAACTCTGCCCGGCCAACCCCAGGCCACAGCCATGCCAGACTTACCCCCAAACTACATAGTTGGTCTTCACATTCTTGGGCCAGGAGAACTCGCCGAAGATCACCTCGTCTCCCTTCACCACAATCTCCTTCTTCTGGATGTTGTACTGTCGCAGGACGCTGAGCACGTCCGCCATCTTCCCCCCCCTCGCCGCCGCCGCCGCCGCCGGCCCCGGGCGAAGCCGCCGCCGCCGCGCCTGCCTCCTTCTTCCCCTGTCGCCTCGCCCTCTTCCTCCTCCTCCTCCGCCGCCGCCGCCGCCGCGAACCAACAGCAGCCGCACTAGCAGCCGTCCTCGCCTACGACAGCAGCAGGGGCAGTAGACACCCAGGCCGCCGAGGACCCCGCGCTATAAGGCAAGGCCCCGCCGCCGGCTGCCCGCGGAGAACGCCTGACTGCGCGCCTCCAGCCAGGTCGCCGCCAGGGGGAGCCACGACCGACCAGGAACACGCCCCTCCCAGACTCCCACTCGGCACCGGGCCGAATCCCGGCCCGAAACTCGGAGCGCAGGGACACCGCGCCCACGTACGGAGCACGTACGGGGAATACTGCCGGGCGCACGCGCGCGGACACGTACCTCGTCCGTCGTCCCTCGCAGCGCGCACGCGACTAGCGACAGGTGCGCGCGCACCTGCAAGGAAGCCCGGGAATTCTGTCCCCAGACTACGCACTGGGTTGACCGCCCACCCACCTTGACTGCGGCCAAGGGCTCTCGGGCCGTTACTTGGGCGAGAGTGGAGCTTGGCAAAAGGTTTCCAGAACGCTAAGATTACCTTCCCAACTAAAAGGGACCCATTAAATGGCCTGTAGGTCTTAGTGATCCGATTAAGCCCCTTTAGAAGGGTGAGGTTTTGGAGGCGGGGTACGGTTTGGGGGTTGTTTTTTGTTTTTAGTGTATTCACGTAGTGGATAAGGCACTAGTCCGGAGGAGACCAATCCCGGGTACCTGTATTTGTTACGTGCTGCTTGACCTTGGACAAGATACATACCTTCTTACAGCATTAATTGGCTAGTGGAAAAAAGAACTTAGTATGAGAATAACATGAAAGAAAGCATCTAGCAAATCAACAAAATATCATAAATGTTGATCTTCCACTTCAGTTCCTTGGATGATGACTTTTTCCATCCTGGCCCCTTCTTCCTGCCAGGCCCAAAGTGGTACCCTTAAATAGCTCTATTCACAGATGCTAATGAAAAGGAGAACACAAACTCCAAGCTGTCAGAACACTTTCGGATTACCTGATTTTTTATTGGCACTCAGAAGGCTAAAGGGTGTCCTTGCTGTGCTGGAAACAATGAAATAAATTCAATATACTGTGGCCTGTATACCTTAAACTGAACATATTCCGTGGGGGCCATAATTTTTTTTATTCCTTTTACTATAGTGGAAAGGGGAGGGGGGGAGGCTATTTCTTGACTGACATAACCAAATACTTTGATCTGCTTTGAAAGGGATCCATTTTTATTTAATGTGCACTACAGAGAGATATAGAAGTGTATGGTTTATTTCCTATACTATCTATAGCGAGTTTCCAAATGAATTTGAGAAATTTTGTCTATTCTGCAAATGTTCCATCCCTGCGGTAGAGTCGTGAATCTCACCACAAAAACAGACACAATGAAGCACTTACTACTCTCTAATCTCCCATAGTGTCTATTCATACTTGTATGAGAGCACCCAGTATTACTTGAGAGCCCACGTTAGTTTCCTTGCTTGCCTCATCCTGCAAAACTAAAGGGCAATAGACCTGTATCATCATATCCTGGTGTCTAGCACATTATTGGCTCTTAGAAAATGTTAAATTAATAAATGGATAGATGAGTTCAACAAACTCAGTATTTAATGGGCAGAAGAGCCAATAATAGTCTACTCAAATGACTCTTAATTTTATTTCATACACAAATAATGCCTATATGAGTCCATTCAGACTGCTATAAGAGAACACCGTAGGCTGGGTGGCTTATAAACAACAGAAATTCATTCTCATAGTTCTAGAGGCTAGGAAATCCAAGGTCAAGATGCCAGAAGATTCATTGTCTGGTAAAAGCCTGCTTTCTGGTTCATAGACCTCTGACTTCACATTGCATACTCACATGGTGGAAAGAAAAAAGGAGCTTTCTGGAGTCTTTTTTATAATGTCCTAATCACCTTCCAGAGGCCTCATCCTAACACCATCACCTTGGGTTTAGGATTTCAACATATGAAGGGGGATGGGGTGGGTGACCACAAACATTCAATCTATAGCAATGACCAGACAGTCTTTCTTTTAGGAAAAATTGTGGTTCTGAAGATAGTGATTCTTAAACTCAGTGTAATGAGATATGGCATTAGTAATTTGTTGCTTATAACAGTTAAAGAAATGCATGGATCATTTTGTTTTTATTTAAATCCTGTGCCATTACCCCAGTAATATTGGTTCAGTAATGTTCGTGCCAAAATACAATCAATAAAAGACAAGATTAGGGGCACCTGGGGGGCTCAGTCAGTTAAGCATCCGACTTTGGCTCAGGCCATGATCTCACAGCTTGTGTGTTAAGCTCCAAGTCGGGCACTGTGCTGACAGCTCAGAGCCTGGAGCCTGCTTCAGATTCTGTGTCTCCCTCTCTCTCTGCCCCTCCCCTGCTCACACTTTGTCTCTCTCAAAAATAAATAAACATTAAAAAATTTTGTATCATAGAAGAAAAGATTAGTACTAGATCTGAAAACTTAGAAAATTAACTAGAAAAAAAATTAGAAAATCAGTCTTGTTTCTTTGTCTTGGGTGAAGGCTGCCCACTTCTCCAGTCATCAGCATCTGAAAAATTCCTAACAATTCTCAGTTTGAATTCTCCTGAGAATAAATATCTAGCAATTGGGATAAAGTGGTACATCTTTTTAGCTGAAAACCATGTATGAGAGATCATTACCTTAGAGTTTTGCTGCTATGTCCATTGTTAACAATACCTGATAAGATCCTTTCCATCAATGTCCAAGAATGGTTGTATTCTGATACCTTTACCAGATGACTAAATATCCAGGTTTTAAATTAGGAAGGGTTTGTTAAAGTACGTATTTTGAAAATGCAGCTTGAACTTTCTAGTGATAATTCTGGAGGGATCACAAATCACTTGTTGTAGTATTTATTCATATTAGTCTGTAATAAATAGAATCTAGGATTAGGAGTAAATGTTTCAAGGGCGCCTGGGTGACTCAGTTGGTTAAGCGTCGACTCTTGATTTTGGCTCAAGTTATGATCTCTGTGCTGAAAGCTCAAGGCCTGCTTGGGATTCTCTAATTCCCTCTCTCTCTGCTCCTCCCCAGCTTGCTCACTCACTCAAATAATTAAACAGTAAAAGGAAAGGAAAGGAGAGGAAAGGAGAGGAAAGGAGAGGAAAGGAGAGGAAAGGAGAGGAAAGGAGAGGAAAGGAAAGGAAAGGAAAGGAAAGGAAAGGAAAGAGAAATGGGGTGCCTGGGTGGCTCAGTTAAGCGTCTGACTCTTGATTTCTGCTCAGGGCATGATCTCATGGTTCATGAGTTTGAGCCCCGTGTCAGGCTCTGTGCTAGTAGTGTGGAGCCTGCTTGGGATTCTCTCTCTCCCTCTCTCTCTCTACCCCTCCCCTCTCATGCTCTCTCTCTCTCAAAATAAAAAAATAAACATTTTTTAAAAAGTAAACATTTCAAATGCAAGGGATGGGGTAAATTGTTAATTCATGAGGAGATAGTCCATGGGTTTCAGAGAGGGTAAATCTTATTGACACTGAGACCAACAGCAAAATTAAGGCCATCAAAATTCAAAATTTTCTGAGAGCTTTGCTAATTTTAATTTTAGGATTCCATTAATTCTTTTTCATTTTCCTAAAGTTTGTGGAAGATAGAGATATGGAGTTATACTTTCCCAGCAAGGAAAAACGTCTGCCCAATCCTAAGAGTTGACAAATAACCTGAACATATTCATAGCTTATTACTAGAAGAGTTTGTGTAAAATCCATTTTGCAATGTTCAAAGGAGCCTCAAGGCTTTGGCTTCCGTCCATTTCCTATGTTTACAGTCTTGCATGGATTATGTCCTTGATTCATAAAATGCACATTAGAAACATTCTCAGTAATCCCTTCACAATTACTCCACTAATGTTGGTTCCATATTGTTGTTAGTTTATCTCTGCTATTTTGTTTCATATCACGGGGCATTCTGGTTAAAATTCACCTTTTAAATTACATTTTCCTTAGGTAATAGTAAATAAAGCATCTAAATGTGTTTAACTTGTCCATTTTAACAGGTTACTGTGGAGGTTAGGGATTCTCTTTGTTTTCAAAGCATTCCAAGGTCATGGGATAATTTATGTCTTATCACACTTCATACACACATACACACACACACACACACACACACACATACATATACATTAATACTTGAAGATTAGGATTTTATTATGATGAAGACCGCATAGTATTTAAGCTTATCATTATTGAAATATAGAAAACACACACACAAAATATATACATGTATACATATATATACTTACATAAACACACATACATATATACTCTTACCTTTTGTAAAGTAATCCGCAACTGAATTCGTTGTGATAGTGGTATGTGAGGGACACAAGGGTGTTTTATAGGAGGTTAGGCAACTACCTGAGAAGTGTGGGTGGAAAAGGCTATGTGACTTACAGAACAATAGGTTTAGTGGAGACCCTAGAACAATTAATTGAAGTTTTCCCATGTTTTACCACCATTTCTTACAGCTCTCAGAAAAGATGAGTGTACTTTGGCTACTGGATCTAAAGGAAGTCTGAAATAAGTAATAAATTTACAAAGAGTCAGCACCCCTAGTGCTGTTTCAGACTTTTCATGAACAAAAAGAAAAAAAAAAAGATTTTTTTTAATCTAAGATCCTGGAAACAAAATATTTTGATAGGCTTCTTTTAACTTTGAAAGTATACAATCATACAAAAATACTTTTATTAACACATTTTGTTTACATATAATTAGCCTAAGAAGATGAATCTCATTTTTTGTTCTCAGTTTTCCCTAACTTTTGTAAACAACAATTTCTCATAATAATCTTTTCAAACTTGAAGAATTCTAGAATACCTAATTATGTTTATTGTCCTTTCAGGTTTAGGGTAAAGGAGCAATTGTTTTTGTTTCCTAATG